ATATATATATATATATGCCTTTTCTACCCTTTCATTCCTCCTGAGGGCCTCCATACTGACTTGTAGAGATTGGTGTATGCAGTGTTGTTGTAGCTATGGTGTTCCTGGGACATTAGAGAGACAAGGTGGATAAGGTAATAAATTTTATTGGACCACTTCTGTTGGTGGGAGAGACAAGCTTTCAAGCTTACACAGACCTGAAGAAGAGCTCTATGTAAGCTTGAAAGCTAGTCTCTCTCACCAACAGAAATTGGTTCAATAAAAGGTATTACCTCACCCACCTTGTCTCTCTTGTAGAGCTTGTGACACGATCATTATGAACGGACAGAGTTCTTGTTAGTGGCTCTTTCTGTGCAGGTCTTTGCAGTGCACAACAATAACATTATTGAACCTACCAACTTTCAGACAATACTATATATTCTTGTGTTGGTAGATGGCACTCTGTCTACATATACATGTGCATTGATGTATTTTTTTTTATAGAGTGCTCTGTAATATCTCTCCCTTTTTAATCAATAACATAGTCTTTGAAATTACAAAGCAACTTTACTGCTCTTTTGCTTCATGTAGTTTTATTTTCAGGCCTTCCTCCTGTTGCTGTTTGCCCTCAGGAGATTTCTGTGCTCCTAGATTTTTCTGGCATTGTCTTTGCGAACTCATGAAGCTCAAGTGAACTCACTTCGCATTGATTGCAGACTTTCCTTATATCTTGATCTGTGGTAGGATTCATTTGTGTCTTCTGTTTAGGATAATTTTTTGTTGGTTCTTCTAAGGGAATTCTAGTTGCAGAGGTAGAGTTGTTTGTATTTCTACCATGTGCTATTCTTTGCAAATATTCCCTGCCCCCTGTCTGTTGTCTCTGTTGTTAGGTACTGCCTGTACTTATATTGACTGTTCTATGTGGAATTCAAAGAGCATTTTGGTACCTCTGTCATAGTAGTATATTTGACTTGTTGCCATTGCTGTTTAATTTGTGTTCTCAACCTTTCCACTGCAGCTTTGTTCAAAAGTTGTTCTGTAAGTAACAGCCTGTATGTGGTGTGACATGAGATGCCGTTCTGGTCTGCTCTCCATGCCTTCTGTTGGTGTATTTTTCCAGTCAAGTGATGCTGTGCATGGGTCTTTGTTATGCCAGTACGGCTTTTTTACCAACTACTTGGCAATCTTGAGATCTGCTTCAGCTTTACCATTAGACTGGCTGTGATGCAGAAAGGATGTGATATGTTCAAATCCTGCGTATGCTGCAAACTGAAAATTTACCTACAGGCCCACTGAGACCCATTATCTGTATCAACAATTTCTGGGATTCTATGCTGATTCTTCATAGCATTAAGTGGTAGAAGCTGCTCTTGTGTGCACAGGATTTTTTCCTAATAAAATCAGAAATTATAATCAAGGATTAGGAGGGATACTTGATTTCCTAATATATGTAGGTCCATGCCTGACTTGCTCTGCGATAGATCAAATATTTAGTGCATTATGAGTGATGTGCTAGGAATTTATTGCAGATACTTCACTGATGTATGAAATCTTTGACTTCACTGCTTATGTTTGGCCAACACAGGACATCTTGGCCCTATGTAAACATGCTTCAACACCAACAGGTTTCAGTGTATGAAAGCTAGCATTTCAGGATTTCAGACCTTTAGGGTCTTTACCCTACTGCCCTAATATAGAATACCATTTTGTAGTGTCAGTATATTTGAACTGAATATTGGCTAGACAAAGAAAATCTAAGTGGCTGGGCAGATGTCTTCCTGTCTGGTCATCCTGACCTATAGACTGTTCCAAATGCTTAAAATTGACTGTGCATTTGAGTATGTCTGTATCTGGGGCACCTGCTTATCTGTCACACAATAGAATTCTGCTTAGCTGATGTTCCTGATGAAACGCCGCCTCCTGATGCATGTAGAAGATTTCATAATCAAGGGCTGTCAAGCTCTCACTGTCTTTTGGCACTCATGTTGTGGACAAAAGATATGCACAATCAGAACATCAGGATGAACATG